GAAGCTGTTCATAATTTCCTCTTCCTACTTATTAATGATCAGGGCCACTGAAGCCTCACCTGCTTTGTGGAAAACAACCAGAAGTTGTTTGGGTCACACTGTATTCTGATGATCCTCTATATATGACCTACAGATGTTGAGGTTTAGAGACATCTACAGCTGTATTGTTGGAACTGCAGAAGTCATCTCCTCAGTAGAGCAGCACTGAAGGAATTCCAAATGCTATCAAATGATTTGCATATTTCTATTCTTGGAAATAAATGGTTACTTCCATTGTTTCATTTATTAATCCATTGTAAATACATTAAAAATATCTTAAAAAACCACCACAATAATGTCAAGATTTCTGAAAATTGTATTTAATTTCTTTGTGACATTTTATTGACAGTTTAAAATTTACATTCATGACAGTAAATTTACATAAAAATCACTGAATTAGCTTATGATATAAAGAATTCAACAAAAATACATGTTTATTTAATGTTTGACAGTTATCTGTCAATCTTTTCAGCTGGGTTTTTTTTAATGCTACAAGAAAAAAAAATTATAATTTATAAAACCATTGTAAATACATATATATTAAAAAATCACCACAATAATATAAAAAAAAAAATCTTGAAAATGTACATTTCTTTAAGGTGACATTTTCCTTTGACAGATTTATATTTACGATCATGACAGTTAATTTACATAAACATCACTGAATGCCAGATAGATACATGAAATTAGCTTATGATATAATGGTTTTAACCAAGAATCCATGTTTATTTGGTGATGTTTTAAGCTGGGTTTTTTTATGCTATAAAAAAAGAAAGAAAGAAATATAAATGTCTAGAAAACACTGACAATTTTGATCAGTACTTTTAACTCAATTTGACTTATTTTCTTCTTTTTTCAGCAATATTTTGTTTCTGGATTGCTCTGTAGTCAGAAACAGGGAAGAATCTCACTCGGGTGAAAACGTTCTCCTTCAGCAGTCGTCTCTTGTCAGAGAAATTTAAAGGTGCAAAACTGAACTCTTCGTCAGAGTCCTATTTCAGAATGAATAAACAAATAAATATACAAACAAGTTAATAAATAAGATCAGTGCTGAAATATACAACTCCATTAAATGACAAATATCAATCAAGTTATAATAAGGTCACTCTCTCTCTCTCTCTCTCTCTCTCTGTCTCTCTCTCTCTCTCTCTCTCTCTCTCTCTCTCTCTCTATTTTGTAAATATAGTTTATTTTTTTTTAAGTGAAAGTAAGTTAAAATATATTCTACAGAGAAGATATTCATTAGAACTTTTGGCCTGTGCTAAAGTGATACTACATAAAAGATTCTTCATTTTATTTTTTTTATTGTGGCATTTACTGCCAGGAAAGAAGTACACACAGCTTATGCGCAATTCATTCTGCTTTTATACAGCAGCATATACAAACAGGGCATTAGGCCAACAGCTAGTTCAAGGCTGAGGCCCTCCACCCAGAGAGGGGTAGACTTCCATGCTTCCTGCATCCGAACGCAGATTAACTCAGAATAAAGAGGCAGAACACATTTCTCAAACAGTTACAATATTTTCTAAAATCAGCAGAAAATGTCATACTGTAGGTGTGTTATCTGTAAAGGACGTGTTATTATTACTCAGAAAAACAGCAGTGCTTAACAGCAAGCAAAACAATGAAAAATTCATTTATGACATGCATGATCTCAAATTCTAAATGTAAAAAAAAACAAAAAAAAACAGAAAGCAGTGATCACTCTGTATTGAAGAAAATATATATATATATATATCATGTTTTATCTTAACTGTTTTCGTGAATATACACTTAGTCTGAAATTGATGCCTGCAACAGAAAAACTGGGACAATTTAAGACCAGGAACTTAGAAATAATTAATTAATAACTAATTAAGTATAAAAAGAGCCAAAAAGTCCATCAGTAAACAATAAAACAATTTAAGAACAACATTCGAATAAAGGATTTCAGTTGTTTCATCCACTCCAAACCATGATATCATCAAAAGACTTTGAAATTTGAAATTTTATTCTTAGCAGAATAAATATGATGCCGAAGCTTTGAAAGATTGATTATCAGCAAGGAATAAATAACAACACAATAACAGATCCATATTTATAATGCACATTTTTATTTCAGTTACAAAATCTCTAAGTCCTTTGCACAAGAAGTTTGGTTAATAAGAAGATAGTAAGAAGTAAAGAGGGGAAAAACTGCTATATATAGAGAAACATTCAGAGAAATATTGTCTACAAACTGTGTCACAATCCTGGATGCATAAATTAATAAACAAGCACAGGCATTACTTTCACACACAGCAGAATATAGAGCATAAACATTGAGTGTAAGAATGAATAAAAAGACTGAAGAGTGAAGAATCTTCCTTTGCCTTCAATAAAACTGTGCTTTAGCTCTAATACATTGTGTACATGACATATTAAAATATTTGCACTAAAAGCTTTAAAAACCTTATGAAAGAAACTTACAGAGATTTTGTCTAATATTTTGCTTTAATATAAAAGGCAATGAAAATTCTATTGTTTTACTGTTTGTGAAAAAAGTAGTTTTATATTTTTTGTGTAATTTTAAATGACATTGGATATACAGTGTGTTTATGATTAGTTTTCATCTTCCATTTAAATTCAGTACCACAAAATTTTCAGCTCTCTAGGTGGCCAAAGTATAAAACTTTAACAAAGAAATAAAAAAGTTTGGTTAAAAAAAAAGCAACTCCTCATCACATCCACACTTCCATGAGAGTTTATGTGTTAGAAACTACAAAGCTGAAGTGAAGCTCATCTGCAGCACTGAGTACACCAGTATAACAAAAATGCCCCCAAACTTCACTTCTGCATTTTATTTGGATAGTACACTTCAGAACCTGCGTTCAACAAAGTATCTATAAAATGTTCTTGTTTTTCTAACTCTACACTGGGCCCTAATCCTAAACTCAACTCAGATAATAAACTTAAACTAAAATCTGTTAAGAATAAATTGAGTTTCACCATGTATGTTCTTATCAATTTGAACCTATGTAGACAACCATCATGGTGCGTTTCAAATAGAGTACTTTTTTTATGGCAAACATATTAATTCAGAGCAATAATAAAAAAGTGAAATATATTCTTACACTTTTGCTTCCTTGCTTAACATTAAATAAACAATATAAAAACGGTAACTGTACCAGACCCTGTACTGATCATACTGTAATAGATTAAACTGGCAAAAACAAGCAGTGCTTTTCCTCAGTCTGAGCATGAAATAATAAATTAATAAATAATCCTGGTTTTATATGCTTGGCATTCATTGCTTTAGAGTTAATGAATCATTTCTGTTATTATGAGAAATATAGCAAATGATTCACAATATAATATCATATGATATTATATGATATTATTTATTACTTTATACACTTTACCCTGTAGGTTTTGAAATAGCATGTGTGTGAAATACACTAGCAATAATGTCAATATTGCTATTATAAAATGAAGGGTTCTGTTGTGGAATCCAAATGTGTTACTTGAAAAAGCGCATATGTTTAGAATATATATATATATATATATATATATATATATATATATATATGTATGTATATATATATATATATATATATATATATATATATATATATATATATATATAGTTGCCTTAGCACAGGCCCTGCTTACTGAAACCTTTTAGGTATGCAAAATCTATGACTAACTTTTCTATGGGGCATAATATCAGACAACATCAGGCTAAACTCATGTGTGTCTGTTACAGGTGAAAGATTTTAATGACCACACTCACTCTAAAAATGTCCTCACACACTCCTTTAGAGAACTGAAACATACTAAACTGCACATTTTTCACCCTGTTCTTAGCAAAGTGGGGACCTAAACAATGTACAGCACTTCACTGTAGATCTTGGCAAACATCAACAGAAACAAACACCCACACAGTCCAAAATCAAGAGAAATCATAACAAACATTACTAAACTAACTAACCTGGAGATCATGTGCAGCTCTGAATATCCCAGTAAAATAAAAACATCCCCAAACTTCACTACTGCTCACTAAAGGAAAGAGATCTGGTGATGAGAACGATGAGCTTTAGCATTAGAGCTTCTCACTTCAGAGTACACAATGTCTTCAGGCTGTTCTCTCTTCACTCGTCCAGTTTTGGGTTTGTTCTCTTTGAAATGGATGGGAGCGTAATTCAGACTCTCAGCAGTCTGTGAGAAAGAACACGAAAGGTTCAGTAAGTTCTGTGTGGATTAAACAGTATCAGCATCTTCTGAAAGTGTTACAGAACACAGGTGTTACCTGACTGGTTGTGTTCTCTGCTGGTGAACCTTGTTGATTTATTACTGTGGTGGATAAAGAACATACAGGCTTATGATTGGATCAGACAACATTAATTTTTTGCCACGTTAACATTTGCAGCCCTTTTCACTACATTTAGATTTATAATTAGTTTGCACAAACATATTTAATACATGTACATTGTATATCTAAAGGTAGATTGTATAGTACAGTGTTTATATGTTAGGTAGCACATGTTACTACTGTCTTATTCAGTACACAGTGGCTTCCTAGAAGATGTTGCTTACGACTTTTAAAACTCTTATTGGCTGAGCTTCAATACATATTACTAATCTGTTAAAGTGTTATAGTCTAGACAAATTTGTTCAACTGAAGAAAGGTTATGGAAAACACATAGGACCTCTTACAACCCATAATTTGGTGGTATATCAATTTCTTATGTAGCTTATAGCCTCTTCTTTAATATTTTAAATTAGGATAATATAATGTAATGTAAGGTAATAATAGGTGTTTTTCAGTCAGAACAAAATATTTGTTTGGGCTAACATGCATTTTATTTGGATGTTCACTTTTTCTCTAACATTATCACCTGGTGCTCTCAGTGGGGGAAACAGCTGAACTGAACACTGTGATAAATGTAATAAACAACTGTAAAATCCTCCACTCACCACTGCAGTGGTCACTGTTTCTCCTTTTACAGATTATAATTTTCAGCAGAGATCACAACCACACACACTCCCAAAGCTGCTCCCAGAAAGATCACAACAGGATCCACAGGCCCCTCTGAAATAAATAAACAAACAAATAAATAAATAAATTAATAAATAAAATAAAAATAAAAAATTGCTTAGAAAAGTTTAAACCTTTCAAAAATGTCATGTGACAAACCATGATAGATTTCATGTTACCAATGATTTTTTCTGTTCTACCAGTGGTGAAAAATACTACTACAAAAACTGTCCTTCATGACTCTGCTAAAGTATTGTTTTGGAGAAGCTGTACTTTATTTAAATATTATTAATGCTGTATTTACCCGAACACCCTGAACAAATATTTTTCAGTAATTGGTTAAAATAGCTACGTTTCACTCTTATACATGAAGATTTTTAGATATTGTTACATTATGACTCTCACTCACAATATTTTAGCTCTGTACTTCCAAATTTAACTGAGTAAGATTTTGTTGAAGTACTCAAACTTTCATATGAGTAGAGTTTCTCAGTTCTTGTTCCCCTCTTGAGAACTATATTAGCAAATGTATAAGTGAGGCTCAAATTATATACCCAACAAAAAGGCAATGAAGCAAACCATTTTGTCTCAACAGTAAATGTGTTATGGCTAAGTAAAAGCTCAATACTACATTAGAATAAATATAATAACAATAATACAGTAAAATAAGTATAATAATAATATTAATACAGTAAAAAGTAAGTATTTCAAGTTTTCAAATAAGTATTTGGTAATTTGTGAGCTAGTTAGAAGAACATAGGCTATTGATTTAAGTCACTACATATTGAGTTATTGTAAATTGTGTTATTATACTTTTACTGCTTTTCTGAACAGATAAACACTTTTTAGATAAATAGACATTTATGTCTAAATCTTTGGCAAAGTACTGTACACAAAAAAGTTTACCCTTGGAATGATGGCAAAAGGGCTAATTGCGTTTTAAGAGACGGCAAATGCAATAAAATTAACTCAGTCAATATAGGGAAAGAATATAGTCAGTTCCAATATCTACATCCATCAAACAAGTCATCAATGACCAATAACTTTAAAATTCTTAAATATTGCTTACTTAGTTGTATTGATGCTCTGTTTCCAAACACGATCTTCCCACAAGCAGCCACAGCGCAGTAGTAAGTTCCAGTATGGTGGTGGTCGAGGATGTTCTTGGAGAAGTTGTGCACACATTTGTGTGTAGAAGAGCTGATCTCACACTGACGGCTGCTGCTGTTCTGATGAGTGTAAATGATTTCAGGAAAGGATTGTCCTGCAGCAGCTCTGAACCAGAGCACTCGGAGTTCTGCTGCTCTGATCTCAGAGTGGACTGTGCACTGCAGAGTGACCAACTCTCCTGGAGAAACTGACCCCCAAACTGGAGTTTGGACAACTGATACCTTTAACTCAGGCTGACCTGGTCAATATAATAAAGACATCGCAAGATCTTGGCGCATATGTCTCAGTCAAGTACATGAGTTTATATGATAATAAAATGTAAAATTATAATATCATTACCTGTCACAGCTAGAAATTTGCCACTAGAAAATGTAATGGTGTTCGTGTCTAGTATTCCACAGAAGTACATTCCTTCATCAGCTTTAGTAATTTGTTCAATAGTCAGAGAAAAAGGCTGGATTATCTTATACCTCGGGAAAGTGTTGGGGTGTTTATTGGGTAACTTTAACACCACTTCCTGAGGTTCCTGTCCTGTTCTTTGCTTGTACCAAACCCAAATGTGTTGAGCAAACTATGTAGAGTAACTTTTCCTCCAGGCTCAGCTGAGACAAATGATACCTTAGAAAGATCCACAGCCTGAGCCGGATCTACAAGATAGAATCAGATCAGAGCTAAGCTCATAAAGACAATAGCTAATGATGTTTCAACAAGCGCAGTTAAAAGTAAATAAAAAATTAAGAGTTATTGACAACCTAAGGTCTTATAAGAAGCTCATGAACTTGCCTTTTATGTAGAGACATAAGATGAGAATCCATATCGGAGCCATAACTACAGAAGAAACAGATCTTCATTGAAGTAAATTTGAGAGGTTGCAACTGACAAAAGCATCAAGTTAGCTTGCTGGGCATGTGAGTGTAACCTCATGGGCTGGAAAAAGTCACAGCTTTTGACTGCTTGACTAACTCATGTTTGGCCCTTAAGAAGTATTTTGGTTTTCTTTCATGTCTATTTAAGTCTTACGATAAATAGTTTGGATTCCATAAACATGAAATAATCTCATATGTTTATTACAGCAGTTTCTGTCAAAAGTTTCTTCTATAAAAGCAGCAACAAACTCTAACGACTAAGTAAAACTGATGCAATAAAAAGAAAGAATGTGCTTGTAAGCTCAGCAAACAACGTATTAGACTCAGAGAAACTTTCAAAAACAGGCACTCCGCTAGGTTTGTTGCCGTCATCATCTGCAAATTATCTGTAACCAAGTAGAAATAATTTAATTTTGTTATTATTGGTCCATTTGATCATGAGTTCATGCTTATCAAAAGAGGAAGAATATATTACAGTACTTTCAGAATTCTTATTATGTGATTGTTTTTTATTTGTATCACCAATTATTACAGGATATTTGCTGAAATGTAGTAGAACTTAAGGCCAATTTTGAGAACACAATTAAGTAGAGGTCTGGCCCCACCAGATGTCGCTGTAGAGCAGTGCATGACATAATCAATAATTCAGTATAACAACTAATACATCTTTATATATTTTTCTTCATAACTAATATTGTTGCGTGTTTATTACATATGACAATGACAGCATTCCAAATATCTTCCTGTACATGTTGTGTAAAAGCCAGTAGACCACCTATTTCTCTTAGCAGTCTTCGTTTGGTGAGCATGGGGCCAGTTCCTCAGCGTTCGTCTAACCAAGTGAGCAGTTAAAAACACTGCGCATGTTCAACGCGCTATCAATAGCCAGCTGTGGGGCATGAGCACGTTGGCTCCATGCTGAGAGCAGCCCATATATAATAAATTTACATATGTCCAGACTCCTGCACCACATTATGTTAATTTGTATATTTGTGATTTCTCTGATGGAGTGTGTTTGTGTTTGGATCAGGTTTGTGTGTAGTTTCATTGGTGAGTCGGCTGCTGCCCCTACAGTTTTTTGTGCCCCACCTGGCTTTCTGTGCCAGAGACACCACGGCAATTAAATAATCTCTTAAAGTCTTAGTCGTTGTCTTAATATTATGTTTTCTCAGTCTGACAGTGAGTCCCCTCACAATCCCACCTCATATCTATGGTGTTGTGTCTGTAACATGTGGCTTTAAAAGGTTGACCTGGTGAAGAAGGGAAAAGGAGTGAGGAATGAACTGGACAGAGCTTTAAGTCATTTATTAAACCCAGTCACTAAACACTTACATACACCATCAACTAAGCACACCTACATTAATTACACATATAAACACATTTACAGTAAAGCTGTGCCCTGTTCACACACCAAAAAAGAAAGCAACTCAATTTGCATTTCTAGAATTCAAACATCGTGGGAATAAAACATGTTCCAATTAAAATAATTTGACTAGAAAGAGAGGACCATGATGGCATCACATCAAAGAAGAAAAGATTAAAAGCTTGTGTGTAAAAGTACAAACACAAACTATTCAACTGAACCTGCAGTATTTGACAGTATTTGACAGCCCACTATCAAATAGAAGGCCTTTTCAGCATCACATATTCAACAGATGTCTGTGTGGTGGCCCACCTGTAAACTCTAGACCAGTTAACCTTATAGAAATACAATATGCTAAAACAGATATCCACCTCCTCTGATCCTCTGGTCTGGATCTACTACTGCCCTTCAGTTGCTTTGGTCAGAATCATTTCATCACATGTGTTGTGGAAATACAAAACCAGGATGATGTTGAGAGTTGATGGCATGTTGATAATTAAACCTATGGCATCACTTGTGAGCTGAACCTGGAACCACAGTGAGTGGTTCTCAGAAATGCTTCAAGTGCTGAGGTGGAAGGAACTTTACTGAGGCAGGAAGTGAAGATCTTAGCATTTTCAATATTACTGATACACCACAGCACAGAAACCACTCAAGGTACAATGTCAAAAGGTCACATGTACTGAAGACAAAGGCCTTCAATTCAATTCATCACACTGCTCAAGAACCCCTTTAGGACAATTATACCATATCATAGTTGTATGACGTTAACTGCATCAAGACTCTTATTTTAAGGTGTTGCAAGAAAAAAAGGTTAGAATTACATTCTCCTCCAATTTTAGAGAAACTTGAAGCTGTTCACAATTTCCACCTCCTAATTATTAATGCTCAGGGCCGCTGGAGCCTCACCTGCTTTGTGGAAGACAACCAGAAGTTGTTTGGATCACACTGTATTTTGATTGTCCTTTAAATATGATCTACAGATGCTGAGATTTAGAGACATCTACAGCCATATTGTTGGAACTACAGAACTACAGCTGTTAGCTTATCTATTTGTTGTGTGTGTTAAAGAAATTACCCAAAAGTCGTCTCCTCAGTAGAGCAGCACTGAAGAAATTCCAAATGCTATCAAATGATTTGCCTATTTCTATTATTTTGGAAATAAATGGATCCTTACTATTGTTTTATTTATAAAACCATTGTAAATACATTAAAAGATATATTAAAAAAATCACCACAACATTATCAAAAGAAGACTTCAAAAAAAATTTCTTTAACGTGACGTTTTCCATTGAAAGTTGTAAATTTACGATCATGACAGTAAATTTACATAAACATCACTGAATGCCAGAGACAGCTACACAAAATCAGCCTATGATATAATGGTTTCAACAAGAAATATATCTTTATTTAATGTTTGACAGTTATTTGGTGATGTGTTTAGATGGGTTTTATAAGCTATAAGAAAGAAAGAAAGAAAGAAAGAAAGAAAGAAAAAGAAAGAAAGAAAGGAAGAAACTCAATTTGACTTATTTTCTTCTTTTCTCAGCAATATTGTGTTTCTGAATTGGTTTGAAGTCAGAAACAGGGAAGAATCTTACTCGGGTGAAAACGTTCTCCTTCAGCAGTCGTCTCTTGTCAGAGAAATTTAAAGGTGCAAAACTGAGCTCTTCATCAGAGTCCTATTTCAGAATAAATAAACAAATAAATATACAAACAAGTTAATAAATAAGATCAGTGCTGAAATATACAACTCCATTAAATGACAAATATCAATCAAGTTATAATAAGGTCACTCTCTCTCTCTCTCTCTCTATTTTGTAAATATAGTTTATTTTTTTTTAAGTGAAAGTAAGTTAAAATATATTCTACAGAGAAGATATTCATTAGAACTTTTGGCCTGTGCTAAAGTGATACTACATAAAAGATTCTTCATTTTATTTTATTTTTTTTCCAAGCAAAGAAAAACATCTTCCCTGTAGAGAATGTGTTAACTTATAATCACTTACAAAATCAATAACATATGAAATTTGACTGGGGGTGTTCAAACTTTTGCATACACTATATATATTCAGTTCAAAAACTCATGACTGAGTTATTTATAAAAAGAAACAGCAATCATCAATATGTCTGTGTGAGATGCATGCATGTGAATCAGAGTCAGATGTAGGAATAATTTCTTTTGTCTAATATAACTGTGTGCAGTATTCAGCTACATGTTTTATTCATTGTAATAGTCCACAGTGAATCATACTGTGGCCTAAACCACATCAGGTCTGATCTTAAAGACGATCTGGGTGTAATTTGAGTGTGCTAAAAGATATTTTGGGGATGTACTTAGAGAAACAATTTGGGTGACTATTGAATCCAGTGTTTGTTAGCATTTTAGAATGTTTGCCTCACAGCTCCAGATTACAATTGATTAAGGTAAGTGAAAAATTGTAGGTGAAAATTTGTTTACATTTGATCTTTAATGAAACCTTTGATATGCATACAGTGAAGACACACAAGTTAAAATGTTTACACAGAGCTTGAATATTCTCCAGCTTGTATAATCTAATACAAAAGCAAAGCCAGTAGAACAGGACGCTCTGAAGTTGCTTCACATGAGCCTAAGGTCACCATGCCCAATGCCAAGTGTCGAGTAGAGGGATATAAAGCCCCCCAGCAATGAACTGTGTAGTAATGGAGCTCCAACCAGTACCTTTGGGATGAAATGTGATCCAGAACTGATCATCCAACATCAGTACCTGACCTCGCTAATGCTCTTGTGGCTGAATTCTGCATTTCAGTGTCTCTGACCTCAGTAGAAACATTAGATGAGCGAGTGTCTAGAGATTTTTGTAAATATAGTACATATGGGTGTGAACTGATGATACATCACATGTTCAAATGTAGAACTTGACAGCTGGGCCTGAATAGCTGAACTGGTGTTAAAACCACACCGTCTTCTGGAGGTGTGAAAGTTTCAGCCTCTTTATCTCTTTATCTTATGTTTAGTGTGTGGTTGAGGATGCAGTCCAGGGTGCAAATTTAGTCTGGGGAGTGGGGGGCTACACTAAACACATAGCAAATAAAAGTTAAGACTGTGTAAACACAGTACACCTACAGTTAGACTTATCATGTTGATCTCATGCTGTATAGACATGAGATATATTAACAGGAATAATGATATCATAAATTTTCAGTACTAAAATTCAGCTTTGTTGCCTTTTGCAATTGCATTTTTCCATTGTGTTACTAAATGCTTGGTATGATCACCATGTTGCTGTATATATTTTATCAAAATACCCCGATAATTGTAAATATAATGATAATTAAGAAAAAAACATTACTATTGATAACTATTATGCAATATTTCAACAAATTATCATAGTTCATTAAAAAAGTGCTGAAATCTCCAGGACAGGTTAGCGCTTTTTTCCGTTTGTCATTTCAGACTAAAACTAAAATAAAAACAAACTCTTTCAAGCTATTTGACAAAGGGTGGCTGGTAGTCTAGTGGTAGGAAGGCTGAGCCAGCAACTACAAGGTCGCAGATTCAAAACTGTTGAAGTTAGTAAACTGATGCCAAGCATGATAAATGAGTTTTATTTGTATAGTGCAAAAATGAACCTGCCAGTTTGTCAGCACTTTCACAGCGATGCATTCTATGTAGTGCAGCAGCATTTTTTTCTGTATCTGTAACTGTGACATGTCCAGTGTTTGGTGGAGCTCCATTAGTTTGTTACATGTATCTTTCTTTTTTTTTATTATTATTTTTTTTTTATTATATGTAGTATAGCAGCTAGTTTTTTTAATGACAGCCACAATCCTGTCAGGTATGTGTTACTCAATTTGGAACAGCCAAAATAGGCACACAAACAAAGGCATAGGGATGCATAACCAAGTAATAGATAAAATATATATATATATATATATATATATATATATATATATATATATATATATATATATATATATATATATATACATATACGTGTGTGTTTTTTAAGGTAATGTACCTGGTCTTGCAGCATCTCTGGAAAACTGTGGATGACAGACTGACATGTTTTGCCTTTAAAAGCATTGAAAGGAAAATGTGTTAGAAATTCAGCAATGTGGTAATAAATTTTGTAGCATTTTGTTCACCTCAATGAAGTTTTACAAAGACTCTGACATTCACCAATATTTTCATGTTTGGGATTTGTTCCTCGGTAAGAACAGAATTGCAGACTCAAGAGCACAAAGGTGCAAACAGTTCAGAGGTTTAAATCATCAGGAGAGCAAATTTAAGTAAAAACCTAGGAAGATTTTAGTGAATGGGGCCCATTATTATTATTATTATTATTATTATTATTATTATTATTTTATATTATGGGGAATCAGCTCAACTGAATACAGATTCATGTAAAGAAAAGAGTGTAAAATCCTCCACTCACCACTGCAGTGGTCACTGTTTCTCCTTTTACAGATAATAAATGCTTGAGCAAAGATCACAACCACACACACTCCCAAAGCTGCTCCCAGACAATCCACAAAAGGATCCACAGGATCTTCTGAAATAAATAAATAAGTATCTACTATCTATAAATAAATAAATCTACTCATCAAGTTTAAGCTCTAATAAAATGGGATGTAAAAACCATGTTAGATTTCATGTCAGTACAGTAGTACAGATAAGTACAGATAAGTACAGATAAGTAGTAAGATTTTCTCAGATGTACAGTACTGTGAATAAAGTTCAATTCTATGCTCTACATCAATCACGTAAAAGAACTATAGCTTAAATATTGCGTACTCAGTTCTACTGATGCTCCATTCCCAAAGATGATCTTCCCACAAGCAGCCACAGCGCAGTAGTAAGTTCCAGTATGGTGGTGGTCGAGGATGTTCTTGGAGAAGTTGTACACAGAGCTGTGTGTAGAAGAGCTGATCTCACACTGACGGCTGCTGCTGTTCTGATGAGTGTAAATGATTTCAGGAAAGGATTGTCCTGCAGCAGCTCTGAACCAGAGCACTCGGAGTTCTGCTGCTCTGATCTCAGAGAGGACCGTGCACTGCAGAGTGACCGACTCTCCTGGAGATACTGACCCCTGTACTGGAGTTTGGAGCACTGAGATGTCTACCTGCCCTGGGAAATATAATAAAGACAGTGTAAGAAATTGTATTTAGTAGAAATGTTCAATAACAATATATTAGCCATGTAATTACAGCATAACAGTGAAATAAGAGTGCATCACTGGCCTCAGATAATAGATGTGAAGTATTTACAAAGCATTGCTGAAAAGAAATTTACATCTTAAGAACACTGAAAATTTTATTTATATGTCACATTTTCAACACAAGGGCAACTCAATATCCATTATATACTGCTGAAGGCAGATCAGTGAAGCAGAAAACAAATCAGTTATGTTACCTGTGACCGCTAAGAATGTAGCAGTAGAAAAGTCCAGTGTTTTCTTTCCAGTCTCTCCACAGAAGTACATTCCTTCATCTTCTTTAGTGACACGTTCAATACTGAGAGAAATGCCACTCGCAATTCTGTTGAGTTTAAATCTCGATTTGTCGAATTTATTTGCAAACACAGCCGGCTTGTCTTCTAATTTTGATCCCACTTCCAGCGGCGCATGTTCCAGTCTTTGTTTGTACCACATCCTAACATCTTTATTTGAGTCGTCTACAAATGTGCAATTGAGAGTGACCGCTTCACCGGGCTCAGCTGAGATGACCAATGACTCTGTATTTCTCACTGCTTGAGTAGAATCTGTAAAAAGTTCATTCTAGATGAATATTAAAAATTTGAATGATTTTTTAAGCATCATTAAAATTACTTACAAATATTGCTTTTTGGTGTTTGGTCATTTTATGAACTTACAAATCTTGCAGAAATATAAAATGATAATTCCAATCTTGTGTAGATCCATCATCTACAAACAAATGTGATATCTGAAAGGAAATAAGTGACTGAAGTACTGAACTGTATTCGTTGCCTGGCTTCATTAGTTAAACATCATTGGCTGTAAGAAGTCACATGGTACTTTCTGTCAGCTCCATTAATAACTTTCATTGGACAACAAAAGTCACCCGGCCTCTTTTAAAACAAATGAATCTCTTTGATTATGATTACTATCAGTAGTTTTGGGCATCAAAGTCACTTCTCTATATGTCTGCCTTTCAGAGTATATCACTATATTAGGCAATAAAAAGACTATTAGCTTTAAGTCTGTAATTACATGGAATTCTTACATATACATACATACATACATATATATATATATATATATATATATATATATATATATATATATATATATATATTGAAGTCAAACATGGGCAGCCTCCTACAAAAGTGAGAATACCTGTAGATTTACTTCCTTTCGGATTTGTTCATTTATCATCTTTCATTTTAATTTATTTTTTGTGGCCAAAATATGCGTGTGTGGTATGCATGTGTGGGATTTTATCTTATTGCAGTTTCCATAGTCAAATGGTGACATTCCAGACTTTTTACATTTATTTCCAGACATTTTTTATTACAGTTATTTTTATTTTTTTATTTATTTTTTTTTTATTATATTGAATGACTTAAGATTTTTTTTTAAATAAGAATCATAGGTACATAAAAATGTGTATATTGTTTAAGGATTTTTTTTTTTTTGGTTGTCTATTTTTTTTAAATATATTTTACATGTGATATGTCATTCTTAGTAGAATAAATATGATGCCTAGGCATTAAACTTTTTAGTACAATAAAAATAGCAACAAATTCATATTTATACAGAATTTTTTTTTATTGAGTTACAAAGTCTATTAGTAATTCATTATAAGCATAAAATAATAAAAAAAAAAACATTAAGAAAGAAACCTTGTTAAAGAAATTAATATGCAGACAGAGTTAATATTTTAAGTTTTGCAGTGTGTGGAAAAGTAATTATACATTTTCTTTGTAATTTTAAAAGGCAATAGATACACTGTGTGTTTATGATTAGTTTATCTTTTCATCTTCCATTTAAACTCATTATCACACATTATTGGCAACTGTTAGAACAAGTTCATCAGGCAGCTGAAGGGTAAAACGTTCATTAAAAAATAAAAAAAGCAACTTTTCATCACAGCCACACTTCCATTAATGATGCACCATATCAGAAACCATCAGTTTGTCCACATACATCTGAAAAAAGCTCATCACCGCCTGAAATGTCTTTCCTATCAGATCTTTAAACTTCTTTGGTTCTTGATCTTAAAATAACAACACAGTTCCATGAAGACTTCACTTCACCTTATCAGACACCATTAGTGTGAACTCCTGTGTCTGTTTAGCAGGTGTGAAAGATTATAATCACCCAGCTCTCTCACAATCAAACATATAAACAACAGAATAAAGGTTTAAAGGAGCTTCTCAATTTAGAGGCCCTCCTTTCATCACAGATTATTTTCAGATAACACTTTATTTTATTTTATTTTATTTAAGGGCGGCACGGTGGCGCAGTGTGTAGCGCTGTCGCCTCACAGCAAGAATGGCCTGGGTTTGATTCCCGGCCGGGTGACCAGGGTCATTTCTGTGTGGAGTTTGCATGTTCTCCCCGTGTCTGCGTGGGTTTCCTCCGGGTACTCCGGTTTCCTCCCACGGTCCAAAGACATGCAGTCAAGCCAATCGGACATGCTAAAATTGCCCCTAGGTGTGAGTGAGTGTGTGAATGTGTATGTCTGTCTGCCCTGCGATGGACTGGCGACCTGTCCAGGGTGTATCCTGCCTTCCGCCCAATGACAGCTGGGATAGGCTCCAGCACCCCACCGCGACCCAGAGGGATAAGCGGTTTAGATGATGGATGGATGGATGGACTTTATTTTAATAGTACAGTTTAGATTCTTTGTAGGTACCTTTAACTCACATTCAACAAAATGTCTATTAAATTTGCCATTTTTTACTAATTCTACACTTGACCCTAAACCCAACCCTAAAACTGTAGAGTTTCATCAGATATGTTAAAAAAAGAAAAATCAATCTACATCATTTGAATACAGCAGCTGCCCTTTATGTTCTTTTAAAATTTCATAATTAATAGACCAATAGAAATGTATAAAAATAACATGGAATAAAATCTTTTTACATTAATCTACATTTAAAGGTAACAACATTTTGCATTCTACTGTAAAGTTACCATTTTGGTGATGAATGTTTTTCTTTGGACAGTGGCAAAATGTCTTCAGGGGGCCATTGTGAAGTGTTAAAATAAATTGAGACCCATTTTTAATATTGCAAACAATGTTGCAAACTGAAAAATAAGATATATTCTCATACATTTCCTGGCTTGCTATAAAGTGCATCTGTGCTAGATCATGTTGATTTTACTAAAACAGGTGCAATAACAATAAGACACTGCATTGAACAAATGAAAACTGAAACTCTATAAAAATTCAGATATTCTTGGTTTTCTGTGCTTAGTAATATGGCTCTACAGTTTGTGAAACATCTGTGATGAGATTAACAGTAAATTATCTATTATATTATGTCATGTCACATTTAGATTTCATATATTAATATTTTATAAAATATCAGTCAAAGTATTAAGTTTGCCATTTGCAAATGGCAATTATTATGTATATTATCAAGGGTTCTTTATGGAGTATCCAAACATGTTATGTCAGGAAATGTGTAGACATAATCAGACAAAAAAAAAATCCCACACAATACAGAAAACCAATTATTGTATCTGATATCTGCACCTATTTCGAGATTTATATGCCTAGTGTACTATGCATCACCACCACCACAGAGCTCTGTTGCTCTGCTTGTACTAAAACTATCATTTTAACGAATTTTAAATTTTCAGGAAGTGTAAATTTTTGTGTTTAATAAATGAGCAGTGCTGGATAAGAACAAATTATGGGAAAATTCTCATCAAAATCTAAAATAACTTTACATTCAAACCTTTAGGCAGCCTCAAAAATACAACACACTCCTATTATCAGGCACCATCAGCATAAACTGAAAGATTATAGTGAGCAGATTATTTTTACCCGGTTTCACCCAATATCAACACAGACAACAAACAGTTAGACAGTCCAAAATCAAGAGAAATAATGACATAAAGCTCATTAAACTAACCTGGAGATCATGTGCAGCTCTGAATATCCCAGTAAAATAAAAACATCCCCAAACTTCACTACTGCTCACTAAAGGAAAGAGATCTAGCGGTGAGAACGATGAGCTTTAGCATTAGAGCTTCTCACTTGAGAGTACATAATGTCTTCAGGCTGTTCTCTCTTCACTCGTCCAGTTTTGGGTTTGTTCTCTTTGAAATGGATGGGAGCGTAATTCAGACTCTCAGCAGTCTGTGAGAAAGAACACGAAAGGTTCAGTAAGTTCTGTGTGGATTAAACAGTATCAGCATCTTCTGAAAGTGTTACAGAACACAGGTGTTACCTGACTGGTTGTGTTCTCTGCTGCTGAACCTTGTTGTTTTCTCACTGTGGTGGATAAAGAATATACAGTATCTCGATTGGATCAGGCAACTTTGTTTTTCCAAGCCAACATTTTAGTTTCACAAAATCTAGTTGATGCCTAAAAACAAATAAACAGTGTATGAAGTGTTTTACACTAAATAAAGCATATTCTTTCAATCGCATTTTAGTTCCATAGTAACTATAAAGTTTTCTCAAGACATTTAAAACAGCTTTTTCAGCTGATCTCCTGATCCTTTACAGCTCGTCCAGATTACTTCACTCAGCTGAGACAAACTCACTGTCTAGGATCTCTTACAACTCAGTAGGTTGAGGATCTTTTTTTATGTTGCTCAGAAACTCTGTAAGAACATTTTATATTTTATATTAGGAATGCAAGCTTGATATGTGTTTTAAATCCAAAAAAAACATTTGTTTGGGATCACATATACTCATTTTGTCCTGTCATTGTGTGTGTGTGTGTGTGTGTGTGTGTGTGTGTGTGCTTTTTTAAGAGTAAAAAAACAATAGTATTAGTGTTTTTATCTTTGAAAATATTTATATACATTTTTGGGTAAATTAAATGTATTTTTAACTATAATAAAAAATTGTATAAAAACGCTTATTTATTTAGATACACACTGTCTGTATCACATGGCACTTGGTCTCAAATAGTGAAATAGTTCATCTGAACACTGTGATTAATGTAAAGAGTGTAAAGTCCTCCACTCACCACTGCAGTGGTCACTATTTCTCCTTTTACAGATTATAATGGTTTCAGCAGAGATCACAACCACACACACTCCCAAAGCTGCTCCCAGAAAGATCACAACAGGATCCACAGACCCCTCTGAGAGAGATGTATAAACAAACAAATAAAAATACTGTATATTTGTTTGCTAAAAAGTTCAAGTCAAACTATTTATTTTGGAATAGTTATATTTTATTCAAGTGTTACTTACATTGAATTTGAATTGAAGTCTTAATTGAACTATATAACTACAATTAATTATTATGTTCAGTATATGTATTCAATTGTATTGATATATTCTTTAATAATTCTACAAGTAAATTTCTTTTTAAATGATAAAACATCCAACCAAATTCATATCATTTTTAAATCAAACTGACCAGAACTCTAATTTGTCTTTGCATGTGCGATAAACCTTACCACTGACCACTGCCTTACACACCCTGAACAAAAAACTTT